AGATCCGAAGGCCATACCGCGAAACGGCTTTTCCGTGTGCTGCCGTCTGCCAAGTGGCTTTTGTCCTGAGCTGCGTCCTTGGCACCCGTTCCATCCTCCCAAGTAGGTAAATGGGACGACAGACTTTGGAGAGAAGGAACCAAAAGCTGGATAATATTCGTCTGGTAGAGATAGAGGAAACCTATCCAAGTCCGCAAGAAGAAGAAGAAGAGCTCAAAGTGACAAGCGACGAACGAGCGAGTTTGCGATTTGTGTGTCTGCATGGCATGACACGCACGGGCAAGAATTGCAGATCGTGTCTCGACGGAACGAGAGACTGTACCCTTGCAAGGCAAGGAGGTGCATGCGGCGCGGTAAGCAGGCAATGGAGAGAGGTGAGCCCAAAAGCCCATTCCAGTGTTTCGTAGCAAGGCAAGCTGGACCAGACTCACCTTTGTTACTGTCTGACGGGGTGAAGAGTCCTGCATTGGGGTCGCTGGACAGGTGCGAATTCACTTTGACGTGCGGCTTCTCGATGGGACAGAGATTGGCTCGTCCAGGGAAAGCGGTCCCTTCGAGTTCGTGGTCAACCAGAGGCAGATGTCGGCCGCTTCTTGATGAGTGAGAGCCCGGCCAAGATGTCATCCCAAGTTAGCCAGCTGACGCAGAGGCCCCGGGAGATCATCCAAGGCTTGGAGATTGCCGTGCAGACAATGAAGCAGCCTGGAGGCAGTAGTTTGCAAAACAAAATGCCTGCAGCGTTTCTGGCCTGCTATGAGATTCAACTGAGGAAAGGGGAAGCATGGACCTTACCTGCTTTGAGCCATCAATGCACGGGTCAGTTGACTCCCTCTTGCACCGAGGTCGCAGAATTTACGATCGCGCCCAGATTCGCGTACGACGACCTCGGCTCACCGCCTCTTGTCCCCCCGGATGCGACGCTCGTCTTCGAAATCGAGCTCCTCGAGTGGCAGAACAAGTTGGATGTGCTGGGGGATGGCCGTCGATTGGCTGCAGATTGACCTGAACTGTCACTAGCTCACTGCAATTGAGAGAAGTGAAACCAAAGTGCGGCGGAGAGCCTAATGCGGTGCGAGCATCAGGAGTATCAAGGATCCGTACAAACATAAGCCGTGTACGAGCGCGGGGCGAGCATCGTGAGCTTCAATGGTACCGTGTTTTTCCACTTCAGCTGCCGTATGCGGGTGTGGGGCAAGCATCTGAGAATAGGCAGCGAGAAAAAGCACAAGTCCTCTGGCGCCCCTGGAAGGCTTCTCAGCAGTACAGTACAGGTCAGCAAATCCCACCCAGGACAAGGATGGAAGAACGAGGCTATCTTGGCCAGGTGCCACCGAGGATCTTGAGAATCACTCCGTTCATGTTTTCCAATTCCAGCATCCGTACCCAGTCCACATTTCCTGCACTGCTGAGCCGCAGCTGCACAGCCTGTAGGGCCAAGCCAGAGTGTGGGGCGAGCATCAAAATGTGGAGGGGGCCCCACGAAAATTAACGTAGGACACGTGGCTTCGCCTTGAGACAAGCTCGCTTTTTCGGTTCCCGTCTAAGCATTGTCCGTGTCCTGTCGGGCTTCTCTGCTGCCCCCGGTGCCGGGTAACCATTGAGATGGTGTGAGCACAAGTGCTGCCTGGCCCATGAGGTGCCATCAAAACGGTCCAGCAAAGAGGCTCTGGAAGCACCAGGCCACGACGAGGCCAAGATGTCGCCGCTGGGATGGGATGTGTGGAGGAGCATCTTCCATCGGGTGAATCTGCAAATGCCTTAGGTCGTCTCACTGGAAGTCACCTCCCGCAAAGGGGAGGTGCTTCAAAAGAAGACTGCGACCGATCATGTTGCAAGGGCCTTGAGAAACCAGGCCTTGGGGGACAGTTCCGCAGAAACTTCAGCGGCTGAGGTTGGCGAGAAGGACTTCGGCTGTGTCTCTGAGATCCTTTCGGAGGTGCTCCAGACCATGGTCGCAGGCGAGCGCTGCAAGGCCCGGGCTTGAAGGGTGGCATCTCGTGTTGCTTCTGTGACGGCGTGTCTGTCTGATAGGTGCTCCTTCGAAGGTTTGCGGGCGACAGAATCGTGGCACTTGGGCTGCGATCTGGGCTGTCCACGCTTTCTTGCAAATGTGTTCCATCAATGTAAGCTGCCCGAGGACTCGGCCCACAGTGGCGCTTCTGTGGACGTGCTTCTCGAGCATGTCGGCTGAATATGGCAAGCGCCGTAGGTGTCTCGCATCTGCCCAACCTTGGTAGCGCAGGCGAGTGTACGAGACGTCAGACCTTCTCCCCGAGCAGAGCGGCTTGCTCGTCAAGAAGCTGCTCTCAGATGGAACCGAAGATCCGCCTCGAGATGCGGACCTGGTAGAATTGAGGGTGGACGGAGCGTTCGCCGCTCGAAGCGATTATAGAAGTCAGGATTGCTGGTGTGAGAGCAAACCTGAAAAAATCTGATCAGACTCAGAGCAAACTGTGCGAACCGAGACCGGCCCGCTGCCGACGCAGAGACTTCTTCTTGAGCCGAAAGTGCTGTCGTTTGCTCTGGGCAGCGGGGATGTCTGCGATGCATTGGACTTTGCCGCAGCAGCGATGCAAGTCGGCGAAGAGGCCGGGATGCGATTTTGGAGGATGATTTTTGTTTGAGTGCCCCGATGTCCTTTGAAGAGGCCAAGATCGTTTGCAGAAGCCCGCTGAATTTTTCCGATGCACAGCTCGGCTTGGCATCCGTGCTTGGGGCTGCATCGTGGGACCTCTGGCGGATTGATTTGATGGAAACTTCCTGTCTCTGTGACTCAGGATTCGTTGGAAGTCACACTTCAGGTGAAGCTCCTGAGCTTGGGCCTCGGTTCGGAGAGGCGAGGCCTGAAGTGCCCTGAGACGCCCTGAGATGCCGCGAGGTGTGAGGAGACAAAGCCAGGCCCAGGCGAGCGAAGATCGCCTGCGCGTGGCAGAGCAGTGCAAGAACCGTGCGGCCAAAGCCTTCAAAGAAGGGCGTGCTCTCGGCTGCAAAGCAGGGACCGGTGCCTTTGAGGGCTGCCTCGAGCTTTGCCAGGCTACCGCTTTGCTTTGGAAGTGTATCGGAGGCCGGGCTGCTTGGGATCCTGCGAGCGACCCGTGTGCAGCCTGCAGGCTCAAGGCTGCTTTTGACGGGGACGAGGCTGCCAAGCAATTCTGCAATCTCTGCGAGCTCAACCGTGCGGCTTGTGCGGGACCCTGAAAACTCAAAAGATGTGCTGACGTGCTGTCGCCGCTGCACAGGTTTCCTGAAGATCGGGAGACCCCACGAAGCTCGCACGGCATGCTCGCACGTACTGGATCAGGATCCAGAGAACGAGAAGGCCGGAAGGGCTGTGGAGAAGTCCCAGATCCAGTGGCGGATGCGTTGCTGCAGGCACGCTACCGTCGCGCGTGCCTCGGCTGCCTTGTCAAGGGAGGACCGCTCGCGTGTGTCTAGCTGCGTGAAGCATCGCAAAGGTCAGCAGAGTTTCAGCTCTCGAACTATTCCGAAGCCTTGCACGACCTGCATGCCTTGCTGAAGCAGCAGCCGACAAACAGCCCCGCGGCAAAGCGAGATTGGTGCTAGAGGGCCGTCCATTCCTTCACAGCGCAGCACAGGGCAGCAGCGTGGCCGTGACGAGGGCGAGGGGTGGTTGCATGCATTGGCATTATTCACATCGAGGCGAAGCGCGGACCCTCACTGATCAAGTGCGCAAAGCGCAGCGTACCTACGCACAGGAGGCCGGAAGGAGTCAGGGAAGTCGAGTATCCGTCGAGGGTCCGTGGCATCAACGTGCATCCGCAGTGCGTCCGCGCATCTGTGGCGCCTGGCTCGCCGTGATGGAATGCCAAGGCCAAAGCCGCTGCAGCTCGCATGCTGGGTGACAAAGGTGACAAGACCGCAACCCAAGAAGGACCTCTCGCTGAACAATGATTGCGCGGGTCCTCACAGCATCTGCAGCCACACTTGCAAGCTGCAGGAGACGGCGAGGACGACTCAGAATCGGCCCTTTGGCTGGTCGTGTTAGCGGCCTCGCTTGGGTGGGAGTTTCCCGCCATCCGAGGCCTGTGTCCGGCTTCGAGCGCTCGCAAGGATTCTGCTGCCGTGCTTGCCGAGCACGGGCACGTTGAAAACTTGAGTCGAAAAAGAAGGCCGAACCTGTGTTGTGCCCTGTAACAGCGATGCGCAAGCAATGAGGACCCATTTGGTTCAGTGACTCATACAGACGTCTGTGCGGCCAAGGCATCTCCGGACAGCAGTGCAAGGTGATCTGAGGCCGTAGCGTTCCACCAGCGATTTTTCAGCGGCTGCCTGCCTGCAGGAGTTCTCAGGACACAAGACAGATGAAGTGTCTTGTGGATCTATGGATTGTACGGTCGTCGCAAGGGAAGTCTTGAAGAGCCTTCACGTTCAACTCGCTGGTGCTTCAGAAGTGGGCAGTGTCGGCCTTGCGTTCACGTTTCACATTGGGAGCAGGTTGCAGACTGCGAATTTTCCAAGAGGCAGTGAGTCGCTCTTCTGACTTCCGGTCTTGGCCCATTGGAGTTGCTGTCTTTTCATCTCTGCCCTCAAAAGCGAGTGGTGTGCCATGTGTTCCGTTGCAACAGGGCCGAATCTCTTGTGCGCCGGCGTGTGCCGTGGTGACTTCCCAGCTCAGAGGCCTCGAGGAGGCTCGAGGGCCCCAATTGCTGAGCAGCACACGCTCTGCAGCGTGTGTCGGGCTTTCAAAGACCACAGAAAGACCCCAAAGATGCGCCCCGTCCGATGAAAAAAGGAGGGAAGACCGGTGTGCCGCGGCTGGAGCTAGACGACATGAGGGCACAGGATCCACCTCAACCGGTCGGACAGATACTCGCCCCCATAGCAACCAGCCTATACGTCCTCGCACACTGCACTCAGCGTCACCCACCCATCGAGGCTCAACGCGTGCTAAGTACTAAAATTGAGTTGTTACGCTAGGGTTTGGGGTGGATTAGTGCGGCGGTGAGTGCGGAAAGTCCGTGTCTAGCTCTCACCGCCAGGTCACGGTTCCAACGCTGATCATCCACGGAGATCAGGACGAGGTTCGCAGTGCAGCTCATCGTGACCCGTGCTCATGCGCCGCCTCTGCCAGATCAGCCCTGTGGAGCAAGCGCACCCGCCGGGTTTGGGGCTGGACCAGCACCTGTTTTGTGGTGTTGGAGGTGGTTTACATGGTCGTTGTTGGCAGGCCGTGTGCGCACACAAAGCTTGCAGCTCACAGCGGAAGCTGGTAAGGCCAGAGCCTCGGAGTGGTTTAAGTATTCAAGTCTTGGTGATTTCAAGTTTGTGTAGAAGCGTTGCAACCGGTGAGTTCTCGAAGCATCATCGTTGCTCTCCTCAGTGCACTGGCATTGAACAGAAGAGACTACTGCTTTGAGGGAATCTCGTAGTTGTATGATGATCGAAGACTCGAGTCGCGGCTATGGGCGCCGGCCTTTCTCTGTTTCTCTCCCTCCCTCCCTCCCTTCCCCAGCTCTGCTCTGTCTTCGTGCTTTCAGGGCTTCACTGCCATGCTGAGGTACCCCAGGGCTGGGCACAACGACCTTCGACTGCTTTCCAAGCGGGACGGTACATGAAAGCTGTGTGTGGTCCTTCACTGCACGGAATCGCTGTGCACGGTTTTTTTTTGGATACGGGCCGGTGCGGAGGAGTACTTCCAGGAGCTGGCCGCGCTCTGCACTTCGGTGGTCACCGGCAACCCCGAGGTCGGCGCCCTCCCTCCGCCCACTTTCGCCCACTTTCGCCCAAGTCTCGCCACAGCTCCGACCGAGGCTTTGGCGGAGCCCTCCGGCCAGACGTGGCTGGGCATGATCAGCGACTTCATCAGCAACGGCTCGGTGCGGCCCTGAAGTCCGGGCAGGCGCAGCACCGCCTGGGACAGAATTCGATGACTGCTGAGGCATTGAAGTGCTTACCCGGAGTGCGGCGGTGCTTCGTCACCGATCCCGAGATGACGAACTCGCCTCGCTGAGACCCCGAAGACTGCATGTCAGCCCAGTTTCCGACATGACATGGCAACGTTTCTCCAAGCGCTGGAAAAGCTGCCGGTAACTGCTGTTCCAGGCAATTCCGCTCAATACCCAGTCCATGAGTCTCCTGAACCCTGATTCGCGGCTCGCTGCCTGCATGCTAGCCTTTCCTTTGTTCATTAGCAAGCTCGTTCTGCAGCACTCCAGCGGCGATTGTTGGCCTAGCGAGCAGGACCTACCTACAGAAGATGTGTCGAGTTTGCCGACATTTTCGGTACGTCTCAATCTTGTCTCAAGCTGCTACGATGCGAGCTGTTGTTCGTGTTACAGCTTGTCAAAATGTTGTCGTCGTGCACAAATCGCAATTACACGTTTCTCGAATTGTAATATTCGGTTGTTTTGGCCTTGAACTCTCAAGGCATTGCATGTGCTTCTTCATCTTGCAATCGTTCAGCTTCAACGCGGGACACCTGTTCGGCTTCGTGTGGACCCCCCTGGCTTCGGGACAGGGCTATGGCTTTCCAACATTCCGTTCAGTGTCGAATCGGCCTGGCCATCCGCTGCTGTGAAAGATCCGATGCAGTTTTCTGCGATACGATGCAGATGTGCCACTAGTATTGACAAGTCCTTGTCATTCAGTATGATTTCCCACTGTTTTTCAATGATTCGACTATATCTTCCAATCGACTCGGATGAATCTTTCCAATCTGACGATGTTGATCCGATGCAACTTTCTCTGACGAACTTGATCCGATGCAGATTTGGCAACATGTTTGACTATTCCTTGTCATTCAATTGGATTTCTTCGATGTTTTCACAATGATTCGAATATATCTTCCGATCAACTCGGATGCATCTTTCCTTTCTGACGATGTTTTCCGATGCTTCTCAATCAGTACGAACTGCCGACGTTTTGACAATGATTCCAATATATCTTCGAATCAATACTGACACGCACATCCGTGACTCGGAAAAGTATCTTTTGTTTCACATCCACGGTCAGAAATTGTTCGTCGAGATCAGTAGCACGGGCAAGCAGAGCGGCAAGACCTTTTAGACCACTATGGACGAACAGAACACCAGCGACTCCTTCCATGTTAATGCGGTGTGGGTTTGCGAGGCAAAGCACTCCCCCGCACTTTCTGCAGAGTTGACTCTTGACTGCACTTGGTTTCTGTGGCTGTCGGAATATGATCCTTCACTTGCCCAGCTCTGTGCCACGCTCTGAGGCAAGAAGTCTGGAACCAATTGCGTCTGCCCGGCCGCTGGGCGGAGAGTGTGCCCGGCTGGTGCTTGATAGTTTCGCTGTTGGGTTGCACAGCTGGGTGGCTGGGTCAATTCAATCGTGTGATGCTGCAGGAAGGCTGCAGCGTTTCGTCGGCATGCCACCCTTTTCCTAGCATGTTTCGGCCAGTCATGGAAGAAGAGCTCGAAGAGCTCGAGGACGCGGCCAACGGTGCTCTCCAGCTGCACTGGGCCAGGGAACCAACTGCAGCACTGCAGACGGACGGATTGTCATCAGTTTAAAGCGAAAGGAGCTGGGCCTGGGAATCCTGAGAAGGACATGACTGGGAAAAAGGCAACTCCTGCAGCTAGCCATGTGTTGCAGCGAAACTGTACAGTAGCGTGCTATCTCAAGCTCCGACAAAAACTCACTCTGGTCATAGTGGGAGGGGCATGTTTGGGTTGAAAATTGCCCGACACCACCCCCTCCACCCCCCCTACCCACCCACGAACTTGGAGCTTGTGTTGGTGTGGCGAACTTCAACTTCCGTCATCATCAATGTTAGTGGGATCGATGGGCCCAGGCGGGGAAGTCGTGCCGTTGCTCTTTCCCATGCTTGACCGTGCAAAAGGTTTGGGCCCTAGTGCTGGGGCAGCAGTTCTACACTTCTCAGCTCATGTGCAGATGGCCCAACCCGGGATGGCCCAACTGCAGATTGCTCTGTTAATGTAGCTGCTTGCGATTCGCGGGCGGCAAAGGTACAAAACCTGTCATTGTGAATTCAAACCAATACGCGCTACTTGTTTGCATGATGCAGCCCCTTCAACAATGGCAATTGAGTGATTTGCTTATAGTCACACAGCAGCTGCCAGCTTTCCACCGTCATCTTAAACAGCTGGAGGCCATCAAACAATGAATGAAAGGCAAAGAATGCCTGTGCTTACAACAGTCGGCACACTGTTCCGGGCACCCACGAGTGGTGCCCCACTGGACAGTAAGCTGTGGCGTTTGTGCTCATACTCGTAAATGGCATTAAGCCCGACGATGAGCAGACTGGCGCAGCCGGTCTCTGATGCCGCCTTTCTCCCGCGCCCCCTTGGTTTAAAATCGAAAAGAGGGTCTATAATGAGGCGTTGAAGCGCCAACTCGACCCGAGAGTACAGTGGTGATTCGTCACCGACTGCGAGATGATAATTGTGGAATGCCGTGTTGGAAAGAAGCATGTAACGCACATCGCAGATCAAAAACTTCCCGCACCGCTGGCCGTGTTGTCTGGTTCTGAAGCTTCCTCTGCTTGGGCCGCGACTTCTGGGCAAGCGGGCAGGCAGGCAGCATTGCAGAGTGGCAAGAAACGGAGTCGGGAGCCAGTACCTCGAAAGCTGAAGGTGATGCGACCGCTGCAGGGCGCACAGCGATTAACGCGAAGTGCAGGCAAGGGCACCGGTCCTTCGCGCGACTTTCAAAGACATCCAAACCTGCGCCCTCTCAGGGCTCGCCAGGGATCTGCGGCATCTCGCAAGGTGCCATTATTGCTGCCTCACCCAGCCGCTCTTTGTGTTGGCATCTGCGGAGGTCCCATCATCGTGGAGTCCTGGCACGAAGGTCCGTTTAGCGGAAAGCTTGGCAGTGGAGGTTCCAAGGAAGCCCCGTAAGGCCGTGGCCCGTGACACCCCGCGTCGCAAGCATCTGCAACGTTGGACGCACCGTTCAGGCCTTAAACAAAGTCCTCCAACATAATGAGCTTGTTCAAAGCCTCGCGTCAAGCTTGACGTCATTGTCCTATGTGTCAAGCACAAATATACATACATATATATATATATATACACATACATACATTTCGAGGCTTCGGTTGCATCTGCGGCGACGCCCAACCCAGAGCCGCTGCTTGAGAGCATCAACATCAGCTCTGAGTGGAGCGGCGAAGCGCTTACGAAGGCCCGATGTCCCAGAAGACCTCGACGAGAAGGCCGGCGAGACAGAGCTCAAGTCATGCTAAGTCGCTTTTAGTGCTTCTCGGCTCTGATATCAGGAGAAACACGGGCCTCCGACCCAGTTCTGCTTCCGCTCTGCCGCATTTCGCCTGTTTCTGCCTGGGAAGCGCCGAGGTCTGTGCCACCTACTCGGGAGCAGCTGCACAGGCGCAGCCTTTTGAGGGAGCCAAGCGCATCCCATCCAAGCGCAAGAGAAGACGAGAGCACCCTTTGAGGTGCCTGCAGGCCGCCGCAATTCCTTACATCGGGTCCGGCCTTCGGCTGCGACTGCAGGCACGCAGATGGCACCGCTATGGGTACCCAATGGTGCCCAGGTTCGGATTCCTGGATAACTTCTTGATGATCCTCTTCGGTGACTTCATCGACAGCACGCTCTGCGCACCCAAGCTGAAGAAGCAACGAGTGCGGGCGCTGGGGGACTGCTCAGAGACCGCCACGCCGCCCCACATTTAGGTGGCCTTGAACTTCAGCACCATGGCTGCGCTGGGACCTCAGGCTTTGCCTTGTAGGTTGCGGAACTCGCCTCGGAGCTTTCGGAGCCATTTCTTCGTAGCTCGTCGTAGCTGTTGGAGCAGGGCCGCCATCGGGAACACGCTGAGCGACGGCGCCGGCATCTGGTCGGGCCAGTGGCTCGAGGCCAGAGCCAAGTCCCTGGGCTTCGAGGCCAGCGCCGACATGCGCCGACATGCGCCGACATGCGCCATCCGAGTCAGCGAGCCTTTCTCCAGCGGTGGCCGTAGCGAAGACCCGCCCAATATGGTGACACGAATTTGTTTTCAGCTTGAAGATGCTTGAAGCAGATGAACCTGTAAGGACCATATGCGAATTGCAGTAGCTTTCACCGAACATGCAGCCGTGGGGACGTCCAGCGGATACCCGGGTACCCGCTTGAAAACGCAGGAGAAGCCAAGTTGGTTGTTAGTCATAATGCTCCTAGGAGGGGGACGCAGAGCCTCGGAACAAGGTGGAGGAACGTTACAAGCAAGTGGACAGGACTTACATATGCCTGCAAACAACACGAACAGTCAGAAGATTGAACAGGGTAATGGCAGGAAAACCGCCGCCGTTTTACATTGCATCCTTTTAAGCGCCTTGATTGTCAGCGATTGGGTATTGAGGAGCCCAAGCTCAGCGAAGAGCAGGAGGAGATGGGCGTGACGGTGCGCTGGCGGAACGTAGGCCACCATAGCCTCTTCCTGTACGGGCACTTCTCGGTGTCTGGCCAAACATAGGCCAGTTCGTGGGCATCACGGTTGGCTGTATCCTCGGCTGCTGCCCTTTGCTCTGGCCTCCTGGCAGCATACGATGCACACAGCTTCGCCTCCTTCTTTCTATCTCTGTGCCTGCGCACTGTGCAACTCTCTTCAAGGATGGATCCCGAGGCAGCCGTCAAGCAGCGACGGGAGAAGGCGCCAAGGGAGCTCAGTTTATCAAATCTTCGGTGTCTGATTTGCCGATAATTGCGGCCTTGGCGGCTTAAGAGGCAACTGTTGCACTTGTGGTTTCTGTGCAGAGAAGCCCCGTCCATGCTACCTCAAGGGAGGACCTAACACGGATCGGGCAGTGTTGAGACCGTGTTTCTCTGGTATTACTCAAACCATGCGTTCTATGGTCGTCTTCTTCCTATTGCCCACGCCGGAGAGCAGCTTCTCGGCCTTCCGGACCTGCCGAGCCAGGGTCGAGTTTCGGCGCGTTGTCTTCGCGCCCGCGCAACAAGGCCTGTCGCCGCTGTGTACGCCCCGCGCAGAGCAACCTCGCGCGCGCGCGCGCCCCACGATGCTGTTCG